TGGTATCAGCCTAGCTCACAGCAACCTCAAACTCCTGGGCTCAAACCAGCTTCCTGCCTCAGCCTCCTTGACGACTGGGACTACAGGCACCCACAATAATGCCCGGCTACTTTTCCTATTTTTAGTGGAGATGGATTCACTCTCACTCAGGCTGGTCTCCATCTCTTGAGCTCATGGGATCCTCTCACCTAGCCTCCTAGAGTGCTGGGATTATAGGTGTGAGCCACCACACCCACCTGGCCAGGACATGTCAGTTTCAAGGTAAAGGGGAGAGAGCGAGAGCAGTGCAATCATGCAGTGCCCTTAAAGGGTCTGTCCCAATCTGGTGTGTGCTCATGCCAGAGCAAGTCACACAGCCGAGCCACAAGTCAGTGGAGTGGGGATGTCTTCCTGTGGAAAGTCACTTGGCAATAGTGAGAATGTATGATCCTATTAAAGAGGAGAATTAATAATTATGAACAATAATTCAGTCTGCCATATAGTCTGTTTCTGCTGCTTTCACTGAACATTATTTACTAAATGTGTCAGTTGAGACTTAGCATTTTAAAATGCTTTAAACGCATTTCCTCCTTATTAAGTGTATTTAAAATTTAGATTAATTTGAGGGGAGGCTGGCGTGTTGCCGTGAAGAAGCGGGAGATCTTGTATGAATTCATCATTGTAGTACCTAGAATCTCCCACATGGTTTTGAATAATCGTAAATGTTAAATACTAAGTATCTGAATTTAGTGGACTTACTTCCAGTGTTTCACATTATTTGCTACTGTTTTATCATTATTTTTGTGGTATAATTTATATGCTACAACATTTACCATTTTAAAGCATACAATCAAGTGGTTTTTCATGTATCCACAGAGTCGTACAACTATTATTACTAATTCCAGGATATTTTTGTCACCCCTAGAAGAAATCCCACCCTCGTTAAAACTGTCTCTGTAGCCCCTGGCAACCAAAATTTTGCTTTCTGTTTCTAAGGATTTACCTATTCTGACGTTTCATATAAATGAAACACACAGCACGTAGCCTTTTGTAACTGGCTTCCTTCACTTAGAATAATGTTACCAAGGTTTATTGCTGATGTTTTCTGATATATACTCTTTAACATATTTAGGAACTTTCTTTTTGCTC